CACACCCAAAGGGGGTCCTACACTGGTGAAAATCTGTCAGATATGCCGTGAATTCCTCGTGAGCCACCAAAAGAGCAATCCAATTTAGAACCTGGAGGGGCGCAAAACAGAAAGTGTGAGTGGGAAAAAACAAAGCTTTTCAAAATCATTTCATTATCAAAAGTTCTAACCCCTCGCCGTAAAACCTGTATAGTTTTCCAGAAAATAGAATATACACACATATCGAAAACATGTTTAGAAAGATGCCATGTCAAATGCCTCACATAAACTGTAAGTAATCCAGGTAATGTCAATTAATGCAAGTAACATGTCAGCCGGAGTCACCTAACATGACCTGTATGGCTGAATCTAGAGCTCAAATCCCCAACTCACTAACTATACCTACACACGAGTCAGAACCACCTAAAGTGGTCTGTACGACAGAACTAGGTGTAAATAAATACGCTAAAGTGCTACGATCACGTGAAGACTGGATGAATAATCACGGGTCACCTATGAGTCGGAACCACCTATAGTGGTCTGTACGACAGGACTGTGCACGTAACTTGGATCCAAGATGAGCGTGTGGTGCGGGAGGTGAACATCATGTGAAGGACTGTGCCCTACTATGGGCGGGAACACTAACACCGGGGGTGCAGGTTATGAACTCTCTATGCATCTCACATAACCACTAATTCACAATCATAAACCATAAACTTACCTATGCGTCCGCAACACCAAACATATATATATGCAACTACTAATGCATAAATAAATAGACAAACGCTATGCATGGCATTTAAAACATATAAACATTCCATATCATTTTCAGGGAAAAACCACAAGTATATAGGTATATATGGAAAACCAAAAGCCCACTCACTGGTATGTGGAAGGGTCGTAACCCCTTGTCTCGAGTGACTGCGCTCATCCTCGGGATAGGTCTCACCTATATACGAAACAACTATAAAAACGTTAATTTAAAGCACATAACCAAAACTAGGTAATAATTTTTCATACAATGCTTAAATAGGGGTGTGTGAATACACCAACGTGATCTACTCAACCTCACGAACATCCCCATATTTTTAAAATAATTTTCTGACTTCACACGCACCAGCCAAGGCACGGCTAGACGCGCCGGCCATGCGCAGCCACGTGCCAGGCACACTGACGGCGTCAGTTAACGCCGTCAGTTAACGCCGTCAGGCACACTGACGGAATATTCCATCATTTTCTCCAGCACACCTCCGGTGCTGTCACCGTCGCCGGAAAACCGGGAAATTTTCAAACCTTCGTTTCTCACTCGTTTTTCAACCAAATTTCATGAAATTGGTACCAAAATGAAGCTTACAACAAGTAGAACAAAATCTTACCACTTTCAAGCCCTGAAATTCACGAGATCACGCCGAAGAAACTTCACAAATAGCCGGCCAAACCTGCAACTCACGATCCCGACATCCAAATCCTTCCAACGAACCACCCCAAGCTTCCTAAGGACCTCACTAAGCTTCCTACAAGCTTCAAATTCCCTGAAAAATAACATTTCACGTGTGTATGAATAGTGACCAAAATCGGGGTTCCATGGTTTGACGTGAAATCGAAGGATTCCTTACGTGAAATTGGTATGGTTGGACTTGTATGATCCTCACAAACACAAAGGTATAGTTTTCCACCTCGATCTGCACTGTTTTCGAAGGATTAGTCTTGGTCCGTACGAAGAAGAAGAAGGGATAGAGAAAGAGAAAGAGACACGGGATAGGGAATGAGATGAGGATGCGAGTGTGGGTGTGTGTGTGTGGTCTAGATGCAGCCAACCAAAATCCCAAAACAACCACACCACGAAACATAACCACTAGGGGCAAAACCGTCATTTCACACCTACAGTACAAATAATCCGGGACGGGCTGTCACATTTTTCACCCAATTCACATATCCATGGGTCTTTTGCCCAATTCACACATTCACCCTTATATCCACAGGCCTTTTTCGCCCAATTCACATATCCACGGATCTTTTGCCCAATTCACACATTCACCCACGGGCCTTTTTGCCCAATTCAATTTCTCAAGTGCGAGGTATAATACAAATTCTCCATTTACTTATCACCACCTCACAATCACCATAACATTCAACATTTTCATAATGCATAGCATAATATCAATTCAATTCAAGATTAATCCAAAACTTTAATCAAATGCTCACCCTTAAAGCTATACCATGAATACAATATTTTAAAATTTTCCTACTCCCATTCAATTCAATTCAAAGCATCATAATTCACAATATATGCATTTCACATAATTTCCATCATAGTCATAGAACTTATGAAATAATGCAATATCAATACAATTCATAATTCACACCCACAACTCAATATTGTATTATGTGTCAATCCAATTCATTTCACTTCATGATGAATCTCAACATCTAAATATATTTCACATAACTTTCTCATTACTCAAAGAACTTAGAAATAATGCATTATAAACGCAAAGCACAATTCCCATTAACGAAACTTTCATAATTACCAAGGCAATTGTACCACAATCATAATACAATTTATATAGGTATTTCACATATAAAACATGAATGCCACTTTATTCCTAAAAATGTGAATTAATGCAACCACAATGAATGTCATAATTCACACCAACAAGACTCAAGAATAGTGCATCTCGTAGAGTAGGATTATTTGCTCTGATACCATTTGTAACACCCCGGCCCCGAAATATGTTTTATTTCGGAAAATAAGTATATTGGTGATAAGCCCGGACTAAACTCTTGTTTAGTTAACATACCATTAATCCCGATTAAACACTTTAATTTCATGAACCCTCACAATAAATTTATAACCAACATTTAATTATCAAAGCATAAGGATAAAACTCAAGATATTAACCCAAACTCCCTTCTCTTAGCACAATCGTTCAACAAAAGATTTACCTCGATTAATTAGCTACCACTTAACGTGTTTCTTTATTTATAGGTCTTGTTTCCATCCATGGTCCACAATCACAATTTCTATATCAAATGCACTATTTATTTTCACACTTTGTCACCACCTTCCTTTATAGATCAAATCTCATTCTAATTATTTATTCTCGAAGTATTTAATCTCACTTATTTTATGGCTGCGTCTAACGTCTCGTTAGACTACCTACGTACCCTAAATAGGATCAAGCCATTCGTAGTTCACATTTTCAAAAATGAAAACCAAACCCGAATATATTCATTTAGTCCAACATATACCACAATCGTATTGATATTTAAACCACAGTAGTCAGGTCTCAGAAGCATAATTATAATAACAAAATTCGCATCAAAACACAATGTCGGCTCCCTGGCCGTGCGTCGCCGCCGCGAGTGGTGGTCGATCACCCCAGCTCGCCGAAAACTCAACTATTTCTAAAAATTCTCAAAAATTACAGAAATGAAGATCTCAAGGAGTTGAGCAAATTGTATACATGTGGCCAAGTCCAATTTGGCCTAGAAAGGCTCCAATTTGCCTCGAACCCACCAGAAACCCTATAAATGGGTGTCCTTGATTTATCATCTCCGATGTTCCGCCGTCCATACAATTGTTTGGGCTTTGTTCTAGACCTCAATGGTAGTCTCACGGTGGTGGTAATTGAACCAAATCATTTCAGATTTGGTGGCTTTCGAGCAAGAAGGGTCGCGGCACCCACGGGTGTGGTCTTCCCAATAATAGGGAGAGGAAAGGTCGTGGAGGGGTTTCCAAGTGGTTGCTTGAAGCAGTTCACCAGAAAAAAGGGTGAAAACTTGTCGGAGACATGCATGGGTGGCGATCGAGTCGGGTCACCAAGGCCCGGGTCCCGATCCCTCGCGTCTCTTTTCTCTCCTTTCTCCTCCCCGTTCTCTCTGCCTATTGGTCACCCTCCTTTCTATTCTTTTCTTTTAATCACAACCATCCATCATTTATTTTTCTCTTCAATCACAGCCACACATGTGGCGTAACTCATGGCTCCAGATTTTTGGAGCCTTCTAAAGGGAAATAAAATTACCAAAATAGCCCTGATTTTAAACGTTAATAACTTTTTCGTTATAACTCCATTTCACGAATGGTGTGCGCTTACGCGTTCGTGAGATCGGGCTCTATTCAAAAATATAAATTGTGACCTCAAAAGGTCTACAGATTTTAAATAGTGAATTTCCAAACTTTAAACCTCGTAAGCAGTTTAATTTAAAACTGAACTCAAATAAATTAATATAAATTCCCGAAAAATAATATAAACTCGCAATACCACGAATACGTATATTATAATAATTCCCAGAACAAAACTTTACGATTTTTCCCAATTTTATCTTTGGGACCGTACATCAATTAAATTTCGATTTTCTTAACATATTCACAATTATGAATATAAAATTCACATATTTAAAATTTCAGGGTATAATAGCATGACTGCTGTTTATGAAAGTAAAAAATTTTATACCGTTTGAAGATGAGCGTGACTGAAGATTTTATACTATACTTCAAGATTCTATAGATTTGATTTTTTGGCCTATATGTGCCAAAGATTTAATGGCTAAAAATTTGGCTAAATTTATACACCGAAGCATATTATAATTTTCGGCATGACAGTTGCTTGTGGGAAAAGGTCTTAGAGTAAATTTCAAACACTTGTAATTAGGCAATCTAGAAGGGGTTAAAAACCTAGGGTTTTCTTTATCACCACCGCCAATCTGGATTCCGACGTGGAGTGGGACCCCCTACGCGTAAAAGTGCACGGCGATGGTGGGAGCACTGCAAACCAAGTGACCCAATAAGAAGCAACCGACCAACCCACAGCCGCGCGGACTGGAGCGCGGAATCTCAATCAAACATGACCACGAGTCTACGATCGTAACGTCAAAACAATCCCAGCCGTCCATTGGCCCCACATCCCACGGCTCCAAAACTCTAGGGTTATAGAACATTCTGGAATTCCAACCCCCCAAACTCTATATAAACCTCCTCGATACTCCTCTTCCTTTCATTCACCTTGCAAACCCTAGCAGCCACAGTTGTTTTTCGCCTTCTTTTTATTTCATTCACCGTCGACAAAACCCTAGATTGATACAATGGCCGGTAAAGGAGAAGGTCCGGCCATCGGAATCGATCTCGGCACCACATACTCATGCGTCGGTGTTTGGCAGCACGACCGTGTAGAGATCATCGCCAACGACCAGGGTAACAGAACCACCCCGTCGTACGTTGCTTTCACTGATACCGAGCGGTTGATCGGAGATGCCGCTAAGAATCAGGTCGCCATGAACCCCATCAACACCGTCTTCGGTAAGATCTGAGCTCCTTGTTCTTTCTCTTTCAGTAGAATATGGATCTGTATTGTTTATTTTGCTAGTTTCTGGATCTGTATTTTTGTTTAAATTATCTTATAGATCTGTATTTTTGTTTAAATTTAGCTTATAGATCTGTATTCTCTTAGTAGTATGCGTTTAGATCTGTTAATACTATTTGATTGCTTTTTGTTCATTGACTTTGTGAATGTGCATCGATTTGATTTGTGGTAGTGAGATTTATGGTTGCTGATTTAGATTGGATCTGTAGCTAACAATTTGGATCAGTGATTTGAAAGTTTTGAAATTTGCTTAGTAGATCTAGTAAAACAGGGTCTTAGTTCTGTAAAAGTATGACTATTTATTTGAAAATTAATTGAATTTTTTAATTAAGGTACATATCAATTGAAATGATGGAACCCAACTGATTATTTATTTGAAAATTATTTGAATTTTTTAATTAAGGTACATATCAATTGAAATGATAGAACCCAACTGATTCTTTATTAACATAGATCTTATCTGGAAAGCTAAATTTTTTGTACAATGATTGATCTGTTAAAAACGTGGATTAGTATTGAATAAGATTACTTGATCTGTTAAAAACATGGATTAGTTGTATAGATTAATATTTTAAATAATTGTTTTGATAGTATGCTTACAGTGATTTGTTTTAAACTAAAGATGCGTATGTTGATAATCTTTGATTTGTTAAAATTGCAGATGCTAAGAGGTTGATTGGTCGTAGAATTTCTGATGCCTCTGTCCAGAGCGACATGAAGTTGTGGCCGTTCAAGGTTACCTCCGGCCCTGGTGACAAGCCCATGATCGGAGTCTCCTACAAGGGAGAAGACAAGCTCTTTGCCGCCGAGGAAATCTCGTCTATGGTTCTCATCAAGATGCGTGAGATCGCCGAGGCCTACCTTGGCAGCACCATCAAGAACGCTGTTGTCACAGTCCCTGCCTACTTTAATGATTCCCAGCGTCAGGCCACCAAGGATGCCGGAGTTATTGCTGGAATCAATGTCCTCCGTATCATCAATGAGCCCACAGCTGCTGCCATTGCTTATGGTCTTGACAAGAAGGCCACCAGCGTTGGTGAGAAGAATGTCTTGATCTTCGATCTTGGAGGTGGTACTTTTGATGTGTCTCTACTCACCATTGAGGAGGGTATTTTCGAGGTCAAGGCCACAGCCGGTGACACACATTTGGGAGGAGAAGATTTTGACAACAGAATGGTGAACCACTTTGTTCAGGAGTTCAAGAGGAAGAATAAGAAGGATATCAGCGGCAACCCCAGAGCCCTCAGGAGGTTGAGGACATCTTGTGAAAGGGCAAAGAGAACCCTCTCTTCCACCGCTCAGACCACCATTGAAATCGACTCCCTTTACGAGGGTATCGATTTCTACTCCACCATCACCCGTGCCAGATTTGAGGAGTTGAACATGGATCTTTTCAGGAAGTGTATGGAGCCAGTTGAGAAATGTTTGAGGGATGCCAAGATGGACAAGAGCACCGTCCACGATGTCGTTCTTGTTGGAGGATCCACCCGTATTCCTAAAGTACAGCAGCTTCTTCAGGACTTCTTCAACGGCAAGGAGCTCTGCAAGAGCATCAACCCTGATGAGGCTGTCGCCTATGGTGCTGCCGTCCAGGCTGCCATTCTCAGTGGAGAGGGCAACGAGAAGGTCCAGGACCTTCTTCTGTTGGATGTTACCCCTCTTTCCCTCGGATTGGAAACTGCCGGAGGTGTCATGACTGTGTTGATCCCCAGAAACACCACCATCCCCACCAAGAAGGAACAGGTCTTCTCAACCTACTCCGACAACCAGCCCGGAGTCTTGATTCAGGTGTACGAAGGAGAAAGAACAAGAACCAGGGACAACAATTTGCTCGGAAAGTTCGAGCTCTCCGGAATCCCACCAGCACCCAGAGGAGTACCCCAGATCACTGTCTGCTTCGACATTGACGCTAACGGTATCTTGAATGTCTCCGCCGAGGACAAGACCACCGGACAAAAGAACAAGATCACAATCACCAACGACAAGGGCAGGTTGTCCAAGGAGGAGATTGAGAAGATGGTTCAGGAGGCTGAGAAGTACAAGTCGGAGGACGAAGAGCACAAGAAGAAGGTGGAGAGCAAGAACGCCTTGGAGAACTATGCCTACAATATGAGGAACACCATCAAGGACGAGAAGATTGGGGCCAAGCTGCCGCCGGCCGACAAGAAGAAGATCGAGGACTCGATCGAGACTGCCATCCAATGGTTGGACAGCAACCAGCTGGCGGAGGCCGATGAGTTTGAAGACAAGATGAAGGAGTTGGAGAGCATCTGCAACCCAATCATCGCCAAGATGTACCAGGGAGCTGGGGGCGACGGTGCCGGCCCAGTTGATGAGGATGATGCTCCACCTAGTGCCAGCGGCCCAGGCCCCAAGATCGAGGAGGTCGACTAAGTTTTTTGCTGCAGGGGTGAATGTCGTTTTTTGGGAATTATGAATTAGGTGTATGGGAACTTAATATTTTTATGTTTTATTTGGGGCCTTGAAATTATATATCAATGCCTATTTTTCTATTTTGCGGAACCTTTTATGTTGTGCCGCTGGTAAATTTTTGCCGGGGGCTTATTTTTTCAACTTTTTAATTTGTACTTTTTTAGCCAGTTTTAATGGAATATTCTTTTGGCTATAATTTTCTTTGTTTTGTTAGAATCTTTATTATACAAAAATAATTTATCAAATTTCTCTTAAATTGGAAAATTAAGTTTTTGAAATGGAACAGATTTCACCTCACATTTTTTCTTGGACACTTATTTTGACAAAAAAGGGTTAAAAGTTTGATTCTTGATGCTTATAAATTGATTCATGATGCTGATAAGGGAACAAATTTTAAGTTCGTAAGAAATACAGTACGTTGTAAGTTTGATTATTGACGCTTAAAAATTGATTCATGATTCTAATAAATTGCGTGATGAACAGAGAGAAATTGAAATGTCTGTGAGTCTTTCTATTACTCGAAAGGGTAGGTGATGAAGTAACCGGTTGATTTCCTTTTTTAAAAAATAGATACTGAGTAGTGACATGTATTTTGACGTTATATTAACTATACTGACGAACGAAAAGATAGGTAGGTGGTGAAGTAACCGGTTGATTTCCTTTAAAAAAAAAAAGATATTGAGTGTTGACACGTATTTTGACCTTTATATTGACTATAATGACGAACGAAAAGATGATGATCACGCAATTCCTTGACTCTTTAACCATCCATTTGCAATCCAATGGCACGGCATATCCGTGCGTGAACCAAAGTGTGGAGATACTGACTGAAGGCGGCAAGACTTGGAACCTGACATCAAAATACAACAGCCAACAAGGGGTCGCTTCAAAGAGGCCAGACGCCACCATTGACCTCTTCTCTGCCTGCCCTTACCCTTTTAGCCTTACTTGCCTCCGCCAACTCCCCTGACGGACGAAGGTTGTCAAATGCAACCCTATCAAGTCATACAAATCAAGTTGTGGATAAATCCTTCACCTACTAATTCCAAATTCAAAAAGAAAAGATTTACGAATTTACATTGTAACGAGCAACAACTACTTAGATCTTGATTAATTTGGTGATACACATTTTATACAAGAAAAATCAAAACTTGTGATATTTAATTTTCTATTTGTATAAGAAAAGTCGGAACTTGAGATATTTAATTTGGTGATATACATTTTATAAAAGAAAAGTCAGATCCTTGAAGAGTTAGCTGATATTCGTACAAAGTTAGTCTCTAATCGAGTTTTTCATGACTTAATGTAGCAAACCCTTAAAAATGGTGTCCTTGAATTATTTAGTTTTCCATTTCTTTGTACTAGACTAAAAAAGAGAAGTGGTCAAAGATCATCTAAACCCAACATTCCGTTACACGCTAAATAAAGTCACGCAATTACATTTTTAACTTTAAGTCTCTTCTAACATTGAAAAAAAAAATGCAACACTAGATTGTGAGCTGGTCGACGAGTTTCGTTCTTTAATACTATCATCATTGAAGTGAATAGGCTACATTTGTTACCAACTTATTTGACAGCTACTTTTTTGTTCATAGTTGATCACTGTTGACCGCATTTCTGTAACAATAACACCACCATGAACCGAAAATAACACAAATCACTTGTGCTTTTGGCGAATAAAGTGGAATTCCCACAACCCACAGCTTTTAGGAATATCCAATGATTCAAATACAAAACCCTAATGTCACGTCGCCTTCCCAAAAAATATCTCCTCTTTGAAATTCCCTCAATTACCCTGCGGCTGCCACAATTTTTATTCTCATCAGAAAGCAAAGTCATTGGTGTGAAGGAGTTAAAAACCCTAACAAGAACCTTCCATTTCGAGTGCCGACTTCATTATAAACAGTTTGTAACTCAAGTCGTTGTCCGGCTTTATAAAAAACGATTTGTAACTCAAGTCGTTAAGTGTGTACATTAAAGCAAGCAAGGTCTTGTATTTGCTTCTTTTCCCGAACAATAAGTCCCTCTTCGAATAAGTGGGTAGTGACAGCAATGCAAAATTGATAAGATATCATCCAAACGAAGAAGAATGCAATGATATGTAACTATGACACGTGTCCGGCTTCAAAGGATTTTGAAGTCTTGATCAAACAACCCTAAATGAAATAGGATGATTACACCTTTTTAATTTTTTAATATTTTTCTATCAACTGTTAGTGGTGTGTAAATAATATTAAAAAAATTAAAAAAGTGTAAGAGAAATAATTTGGGATGCATGAATATAATCTCTCATGAAATATTACAAAAAATATTCGTAAATCATATCCTAATTATTGAACTGATCAAATCAAATATAGAAAATGATATTGATAAATGATCATTTACGCAAGTGAGATTTGAAATAAATTGATCATTTCAGTTAATTTTTCAAAATATATTGGAATATGTGATCATGGATTCATTGGCACGATGCCCCTTCAATACAGAACCAATTCATACAACCACACACTCAGTTTTCTAAGCCATTGACACAAGCCATTGAAATATGTAATCATCTAAACCTAACATTCCGTTATACGTCAAATAAAGTCACGCGATTAAATTTTGAACTTTAAGTCTCTTCTAACATTAAAAAAAATGCAACACTAGATTGGGAGCTAGTTGACGAGTTTCGTGCTTTAATACCATCATCATTTAAGTGAATTGCAACCTTTGTTACCTACTCATTTGACAGCTACTTTTTTGTTCATAGTTAATCACTGTTGACCCCATTTCTGTAACAATAACACCACCATGAACCGAAATGAACTCAAATCACTTGTGCTTTTGGCGAATAAAGTGGAATTCCCACAACCCACAGCTTTTAGGAATATCCAATGATTCAAATACAAAACCCTAATGTCACGTCGCCTTCCCAAAAAATATCTCCTCTTCGAAATTCCCTCAATTACCCTGCGGCTGCCACAATTTTTATTCTTACCAGAAAGCAAATCCATTGGTGTGAAGGAGTCAAAAACTCCAACAAGACCTTTCATTTTGAATGCCAACTTCATTATAAGCGGTTTGTAACTTATGTCGTTGTCCGGCTTTATAAGAAACGATTTGTAACTCAAGTCGTTTTTCCCCAACAGAAAGTCCCTCTTCTAATAAGTGGGTGGTGACAGCAATGAAAAATTGATAAGATATCATCCGAACGATGAAGAATGCAAGATATGTAACTATGACACGTGTCCGCCTTCAAGGGATTTTTAAGTCTTGATCAAACAACCCTAAATGAAACTATTACAAAAAATATTCGTAAATCATATCCTAATTATTGAACTGATCGAATCAAATATCGAAAATGATACTAATAACTGATCATTTACGCAAGTGATATTTGAAATAAATTGATCATTTCAGTCAATTTTTCAAAAGACGCTGAATTATGTGATCATGGATTAATTGGCATCATGCCCTTCAATACAGAACCAGTTCATACAACCACACTCAGTTTTCTAAGCCATTGACACAGGCTATGAAAGTGAGAAAGCCATGTTCAATGGATCCACAAGGCAGATTAGTCTACAGTTTAACGACTTAACGGAATAAAAATCAAGAAGTTTTTGACAAATCTATATAAAAAAGAAAATAGTGAGAGTCAATTCATAACCGGATGCATAAATTAGTAGCAAAAACTGAAAAGACAAACGTGAGCAGCACATTTCTGTTTCCTTCATGCAATACGCTTTGATGGTACAACAGTTAGTAGAACAATGCCCCAAGCATGACAATAAACCCTTATAGACCTCTATAAATTGCCTAATTTTAAGTCAACATAAGATCATTGCCTCCGAGGTGAGGGCGTAGGCAAACACGAACCTCATGTTCTTCTGGCCCAGCGCGGAGTTTTGGAACCATAATCTCAAGCACAGAGCCTGGCCCGTCGTAATAAGCTTCTATGTTAGCGTCTTCAGGAATGCGGGTGGCAAGCGGGATTTCTCTGACAAACTCGCCTGGGGAACAATGCTCAGAGGCTGGATCCGTAAGCATGAAAGTCCGATCATGTCTCTTGATGTATGGCAAGCGAGATGTGCTTATACAAGATACCTTAATGATGCCTTGAGTAAAAGTATTCCTCCAAGAAACTTTCACCCTTTGAAGATCAACAAAGGGTAAGCTGATGATGATTAAATAACCTGCATCATCCTCGTAGATTGTTTTTGCAGCTGTAACAGGCCCGTAGACGTTCTTCATTACACCACTAAATTGATTTGGCCATTGCACCTCATTTGGGTGGGTTTCCGTATCTGGGATTCGATCGGACGGAGGATTAACAGCCAGGTAGCAATCGTCATCATTCCCGTGGGGGAAAAACTCCTTCCTCCTCTTGCTGACAGGAGATAGGTCCATTCCATCAGAATTGTTGTTGTTAGATGGCTGGGTAGACAAATTGAGCCCAGACCCATTCAGAAGTTTCCTTGAGTGGGAATTGGGCGCACTCTTTATTGCTGCAGGTGGCCTCTCAAGCTCGAAATCTGTATTCGGAAGGTTTCTCCAAGAACTAAAATCCCCTGCTTCCATAGGAATTGTGAAGTTCACATCCCTCCCAGTCAGTTCCATCCACCGTTTACGGTCTTCTTCATCAAGACCAATGAGATTAGGTGACCGAACAAGCTCAACCCCATGCACACACTGGGGGTTTGAAAGACCCCTATAATGCTTCCGCTGCATCCTGTGAGATCGAACAAAACCCTTGTCGACGCTAAATGGAAACAGACGCTCCCCTTGGCGGGAATGCCCATTCATGTAGCTCCTTAGCTGCATCTTCCCCAAAGCATTCTCAGGCCTCTCCTTGAAAACCCACATGTACATGTTCTCCATGTCATGCTGAACCATGAAAACATCAAGCTTGAGATCAGATTTCTCAAACCCAGAAACACCATTACTGTCCCGGACGATTTTGGCCTTTGACTTCTCATTCAATGCGGGCTTGAAGTAAAAACTGAAGAAGAACCAAGCGCCCCATATGCTGTCTACTCGCTTGGCGCATTTCCGTCCAACCCTGGGCATTGTTAGCAAACTCTCAGGTCTCATACACCTGTGGGCCAAGGCCAACATCTAGAATATCACAAGCGTCTGAATTCCACGAAGGTGGAGGTGGGCTGCGCTCGGCTGACAGGGGCAAATTTATATCAGGGGGGCCGGAAAGTATGATCTGTCGATTCATCTCCAAATCCAATTCGTCGTGAGAGGAAGCGCTGGAATCCATGGACAAGAGCGTGGACGGGTGGTGATTCTCCATTGACAGGGACGTGAGCATCGAATCTCCCGTTTCAGCTGAACAGCTCCTGGGTGGGGATTGTTGCTGGTGGATTGAATATTGCCATTTTTCCAAAAACAATTCAAAGAAGGAACAACATCATATCAATCAATCCCCACTGTATCTCCCCTCCATCAAAACCCTAGATTTATCAAACCAGATGAGAATTTCCTCACACACCCACATCAAATATTCAACAATATAAAACAAGATTCAATACCCCCAATAAATAAATTATAAATAGAAATAGAATTTCAGAAGAACTGATGGTCCATAATTTAAATTCAATCACAGAGGGAGACAGATAAAAACGCTATACAAAAAATGTATCTAACCCTAGCCCAAGAATCTCCTGAATTCCACCAAACCCAGGTGGAAGACACTGAATCATAACCATCAAATCCATGATTTTTTTTTTTTTTTAAAGCACAAATTTTACAAAAACAAAGGGGCTAAAAATCCAGAGGACCCAGAAGACCCAGAAGCAGAAAAACGAAGCAGGGATCCTGAAAGCGATTACCTTTTGGGATAAGCATCGGGAAAGCGGAAGCAAGAGGGAACTCCAGAGGCGACCATGATGCTCATCTCCAGCATATCATCAACTACCATGTTTGCTCTTCTTCCACTTTTAATTATTTTTAATTTATCTGTAATTTTTAATTGTTAATTTAATTCAATTTTTGGGTTAGTTTGCCGTCCGAAAATACAGAGACATTAGGGGGAGGGTGAAAGAAAAATTGGATTTAGGGTTTGTTGGTTGGGGGAGGGTGGGTTGGGGAAGGGGAATGGGATTGGGAGTAGGAAGGGAAACCAGAGACATGTGGGAGCATCTACTTATAGATTAAGAGGTGGTGGGTTAACGCCCCCGTTTGGGTTTCCGTTACCGCCGTGAAGGTGCTTGCACTTTTGGCTTTATTTATTTCATTTTTTTTTTTTCCAAATTGTGTACTTTCTTTGGTTTTTTATTTATATATATATATATATATTTTTTTTTTTTTTACTTTTTGAAGTGTTAATTCACTGAATTTAATCTAGAATTTGTAAGAGTTTTGTTATTCACACACTTATTTTTACTGTTCCACATCATTCTTAATTTTCAATTGTCGGATTAAATGAATTAAAGAACATCAAATAACAGAAATTAGAAAAAGTGTGTGAGAGTTAAAAATGAGTATGTGGATAGCTTCGTCCATTTATAAAGAATTAATTGTACATACAACCATTTTCTTTTCATTGACAAATTCAAGATAATATTATTTGTATTATTTGCGAACGAATATAACTTTATTTATTATGTTTTATTGTCATGATATGAGTTAACTCAAGTATCTTTTACTATTATTTATTCGGTATTTTGAGGTTAGTCAAGTTAGATAAAGTAGTGTGTTTCTACATCCATATTTAAATGCTTTTTTTGTATGTTAGATCAATTTAAAAAAAAAGTTATTTGTAAATAAAATTTGTATTTAATTTACAAGTTAAACTATAAAAAGAAGAATCTAAACTTAGGTGTAGAAAACGAGCACATTGGTCTTTAGCAAAATTTGGCTACACCCATGTCAATTGGTTAAACCAAACAACTTGAAGAAATGTAAATGTTGATGCTAGTTGGAATTCGATAACGAAAAAGGGATATATTGCCATCGTATCAGAGGCTCCAATGGAAGATTTATCGCTGCCAGAAGACAAAGTGTTACGACTTCGGGAGTACAGGAGGCTGAGGCAAAGGCGGTTTTAGAGGGGTGCAAGCTTGCTAATCATTTGGAGTTAAGCAATATTATTGTCGAGTCAGATTCGAAAGAAGTGGTTTCTAGCTTATGTACTTCCATTTATAACGGTAGGTGGGAAGCGTTTCCAGTACTATGGAAAGCAATGCAGCTGAAGGCGTCTTTCCAATAGTGTAGATGGTCTTGGGTCCCCCGCTCCGCCAATTTGGTGGCAGATAGATTAGCTTCTGTGAAGAACTCTGAGCAATTATACTTGGATCGAAAGATCTCCATCTTCGATTGTACATATTCTGAACAAGGATGGCCTACCATGTCCACACTAAGTTTTGTTTTCTTTGAGGGATTCGGGGTGACATGAGGTTATTTACCGATGTCGGTCCGTGACCCTGTATCACTTGGTAGTTAGGTGGCTTTTTTATTGTAGGTTGTGTTAGTCCTCTGTGTGGGCTTTCCTGTTGTAGTTTGGCTGTGCCCTGGTGTATTTCCAATTTACCAAAAAACAAAAAAAAAAACAACTTGAAGAAATAGGAATTCGGATTCTCTTTCTTATAATTCCAGAGATTCGTGAATCGTGTTCGTTCATTGTATATTGTGCGATCATAAATTAGTTTAAATATTTTTATTTAAAATTAAGCTCAAATAGTACTTGACGAAAACATGACATACAATATACGATAAATGAACATGATTCATGAATCCTTAAGATCCTCACCAAAAGAATCCAAAAAGGATCCTGTTGGAAGAAATAGACAATTCACATGCTTAAACTGTTTCACTTTATTAAGATAATTCAGCATGTGTTATCTTAATAAGAAACACTTAAATGTCACAATAATGAAGTGTTGACTTCTATTTTACCTTGGTCTTATCATTCTAACTCTTCTCTCTCTCTCTCTCTCTCTCTCTCTCTCTCCCTCTCCCCTAATATATCTACAATAGTTACCATTTTATTTTGAAAATTCTTTTCATGCATTTTTTTTTTTTGTTTTGGATAGACCGGTATTGTTAGTGGATTAACTTAGAAAAAAAGAGAAGCTAGTCTATGAGAATTAAACTCACTTCAAGGTATATAGGCATAATTGCTTTCAGCATAATTGTTTTCCACCACTACGGTAAAGCGTTATTTGTTTTTCATTTATATTTTACTAGCATATGCCTATATATTTTGTGTGTGTGAATATTTTTAAAATGGGAAAGAGAGAGGGTGAGAGGGAAAGTGGGAGCGGGAGTGGAATTAGATTACTGACCATAAAAAAAAATTTGTAATAGAAGACCAAATAGTCATTCACCCTCTTTTGGTTGACAAATGGAGTTTTATTAATAAGTATTGCTAGAGAGATCAAAATTTTAAACTAAATTTGCAAACCAAATGATGTGTCACTATTTAGAAATAAGCACGTTAATCAATATTTAAATAACAATCATCAACAACCGCATAATTTGATTTGCAAATTTAGTTTAAAAAATTTGATGCCTCTAGCATTATTCTTTTCTTAATAGTAGTTTAGATTAATAACTACCAATTACTATTGTTCATATCAAATAGAAATGTAGCATATCCGTTCCCATAAAGGTCATAACCGTAAAAATTAGTTATATTTATCTCTATTAATTAATGAAACCCTCTTTGTCAACCAAAAGAGGGTGAAAAAACTACTTAGTCTTCTATCACACAAAAAAAATTATGGGCAATAATGTAATTTCACAAGTTCAAATTTTATTGTTTTTTATCGAAGCCTCACCTACAGGTAATGTTAGAATACTTCCAATACTAAAAAAAAAAACAAAAATAAAAATCTCTCACTCCCCCACGTTCTCTCTCTCTCTCCCTCTCTCCTTCCCATTTTCTAAAAAAATGTGTTCATACACACAAAGTGTGCAGACAAATGCTAGTAATTACTAAATTAATTATCGGGTATTGCCCATAACAATACAACTAAGTAACAAAGTCTCATTAATTAACAAGTTATCTATTCCATCAATAAATAATATTTTTTTTCTTATAATTAATGAAACAAATGTTTGATTACATGATGTCAAGCAACATTAACAAAAAATTATGAATGAAAGTAAAATATTATCAACCTAAGCATAAAACATCGACATCGACATCCAAAACCAAAAACTATGATTAAAAAAAATAAAAATAGTCTATAACCAAACAATATTGAAATATAGGCATAGCTTTTAGTTTTGGATGCGGGTGTTATGATTAAATTCTTGATTTGATAGTATTTTATTTTTACTATAATTAAAGAAAGAACAACATATTAGATAATTGCATCTCCTGTCCCGAAACACGATCTTTAAACCCTAAATCAAGAATCTGGTATTGGGAAACCATGAACTCGCAACTTAATACAAAGAATGATGTAAAATCCTTGATGTGTTAACATTAAGTTTCGACATTGTGGGAAATAAAAAATAAAAAAAAATTCTAACCATCTAGAACGAAAAACAAAGAAAAATCTTTTGTCTTCGGCACTCATATTTGGTCTTTATTTGTCTCCTCTCTCTCTCTCTCCTCTCTTATTACTCATGTTTTTATGCAAAAATTGTCGCCATCAAAGTAGTCGTTGGGATAATCACTGTTTTTTGGGCTCACGTCCATAGCCAAACACAAAGGTTTTGGCTCCACTTGTCACTTCGATATGGGTTTGAAGCGCATGAAAGCTCTTACGTTGTGCCGGGTTTTGGTTTAGTCAGTAAGGTACTATGGTTTTAGTTGGTACGAAAATATGGCTATCATCGGGATACATACTGGTAGTACTGTCTCGTCCCTTTAGTTTGATTTTGTTTAATAGTTTTCAGAAAACTCACTGGGAGTTTGATGGTTTTGGTTTTCCTGCTTACGAGAGTTCTTTCATTTTAGTTTTTTCTTGGTGTGCTGGATCTCTTTCATATCTATGTGTGAAATGGTGAAGATGCTTGATTTGCTGAGTTTACTTAAATTGGTGTTCTGGAGCCATAGTGGTGATTAAGTGATGTTCGATCCATGGTATATCATACTGCACGTCTCAACATGATTTAAGAGTTTTTTTGTTCTCACATAATCACTGTAGGATATAAGAAAAGAAAACATAAGAAATACATCGTTTGATTGATTGAATGAACTTTTAAAGATTCCTAATCGATCGAGTTTCTTCATTCCAAACACTACATATGTTTGTTAAGGAATCGATATGATCATTAATTTACTATGTGTGGCTCTCAACTCAAAGAAGAAAGTGTTGTCTTACCAGTCCATCTCCCCTTTTAGAATTTAGTGGT